CGACACCACACCGAGTAAGGTGCCCACGCCCAGAGATCCCAGGCTGTCGTAGAGCGGATTGCCTAAATAAAGCACACAAAAAATCAGTACGTTAAAACATTTGTCTCTGATTTCCATGAGCTTTACAGAGCCAAGAGCTAGAAGTACTCAGTCAAGGGATACCAGCAACGTATCGCTAATTCCCTAATGGATTCTCTGATGAGCATTCAGAGTTTCACCCTGCCACCTTCATATTACGTAGAAGTGCTATTGGACTTAGTTAGTTATGATCTGTTTCTTCCATTTGGTCATTACGGGGGTGAGGGTTCACCACATTTTTACATTAAAGGTCCCACATACATATAAATGATAGCATGCGGAAAAAAACACTTCTTCTAGAAGAACCAACAGGCCGCAGATTGACAAAGTAACTGAACTCAAAAGCTGAAATAACCATTTTTTGTGTGTCTTATCCCTACCAGAAATGATACAAGTGACTCCTTCTTCATTCAACCAAGAATGAGATATAGACATAGATCACATGCATGACATATATCACACATCACGTATATACATATACCACATACATGACGCATTCCGATCTCCAGTGCCGTTCTCCAGACAAAGGAGAAATGCTAACTCAGCACCCACTACGGGTGCCCGAGAGCGGCAGTTCTCAAACGGGGTTCCTGGACCAGCAGTTTCAACATCGCTTGAGAAATTGGTAGAAATGCAAATTCTCAGGCCTCGTCCCAGACCCTCTGAATCAGAGATTCTGGAAGTGGGGTTCAGTGTTATGGTTCCCCACACACTCGAGGTCTTTCTCATTCTAAAGTTTGTCTTAAACTGTTAGGCCATAAAGGCTGATTTATTATCTACTGTCTTTATTCCAAAGATGAAAAGTCCTCAACCTACTTAACTCCTTGAGTGTACTGGCAAAATACAATTTACAAGGAGGCTTACAAGGAGCAAGTTTGAAGTTAAAAACTGTTCTTCAGAAATCCAAATTTAAAGAATAACTTTTATTTTGAAATATACATGTGCGGAACAAGAATATTACGTGGGAAAAATACTTCTGTAAGAAAATACAAATTTTTTGGCATATTATTTAATTTAAATAAATTGTGGGGCTGGGCAGTGGCACAGAGTTAGACAAGAGTCTCCGCGAGGCTGTCCCATGGGAAGGCTCTGGGCCTGTGTGCAGAGACCTCCCCTCGTACACCAGGGTGCTGTCTCAGGGTGGGCCCTGTGGCCTAGTAGGTAAGGGACCTGGATCCCACATAGCCAACCATGGTTTAAATCCCAACTCTAGCAGCTTGAAAAACACGCCAAGCACATGTGCATGTGTGCTCAAACCCCTGACAGGACTGAGAAATGCAAAAAGGATTGAGGTGTAACTGTGCCCCACTGGGGAGGTGTGGGGGGTGTTCTCCCTCTCCCTCTCTCTGGAGAGCGCACACACACCCTTTGATTTTAAAAAGAAAGAAAAAATGTTCTTAATACTTTATCTCATGGAAGAAATAAATATTCTAAAAATGAATTAATATCTTAATTTATGTGACATTCACATATATTTTTCTAAGTTTGATTTGTCTAATATGTCTTACGTAAAAGAAAATATATCTATTAAAACTTGACTATATATCAAATCAGACTTTCCTTAAGCCTTAAAGTTGCCAATAAGTTGATATCCAAAAAAATATTTTAACTGTAAGGTCAACCAGGAGAATAATTAATACTTTTAGAAACATTCCAGATCACAACGAACATGAGAGAATACTAGTTTAGTCATAAAATGAGCATTAAAATGAAAAAGAGGTATTTGCATTTCAGACTATTTGAAGAGACATCGCAGAACCGTGGCAACGCCATCACCTAAAATTATTTTAAATATGCAAGAATGAATGGGAAAAAAAAATAGAAGTTCCATTCCGAAAGAATTCTGATTTTATAAAGTGCGTCTTTTCATGCTGCTGCAGTGCGTCCGCCTGTGTAGCACTGGCCCGCAGAGCACTGAACTACCTACCAAAATGAGGGTGAGGCTGACCTACGGGGAGTTAAGGGAACAGGGAGGAGGCAGCTGTTGTTACTGGCACTTTGAATGGAGAAAGATAAACAGAGACACAGCGTACCTTTATTTAGAACAAAAGAGTTTCCAAAACCTCTCATTCACATTACCTCAATAAACCTGTGATCTGGGGCCAATGCTATTCAGACTTGCATAAGCAAAGAACTTAAAAGTTCACAGTGACTGCATAGTATTAAGTCACAGCTAGAAGGGTTAAGACCATTACAGAAATCTACAAACAGCCTCCCTTATTGAGAGTTTAGAGACATTTCTAACTTGGAGAAAACTGAACATTTTCACTGACCAAAGGGTTTATACACAAAAATGACTAGTATCGAATTCACATGTAATAATCTTCTGTTCTAGAGCTATGAGGTGGTACAAGGAAAAATTCCCACACATTAGAGAATTACTTGAGTAGTCTGAAGACATCACTTACACTTGAAGAATGATTTACCTGTTATAGAAGTAAGGCCCATGCAGGTGGCAGCTATTATGACCCCCAAGACCGCTGCGGTGTCCTCCAACAAGACCACATTTGTACTGGGGTCACGACTTTCCATCACTGAAGCATCGCGGAGAGACAAGAAAAAAAAAAATGTCTGAAATCTTAATTTGGTATTACCAGGTGACACTTCAGTTACATCCATTTAAAGTCCATATATAAATTAAGATTTTAAAAAGTATAAGAAATGATCATTTTTATGATCTTACTTAAAGTAAACATTAATTCCTTGGCTTATGTGTCAACAATAACTGATAAAAGTCAAATTACTCTCTGGAGTCATGCAGAGACATAAGTTCGCTTTAGTCAAATATATAAAATATCCATAGTCAAACTGCATTCCATCTCTCTCTTTAAAAGAGCTGACAGGCTGGCCCTCCAGTGCAGTGGTTAAGCACCTTGTGAAGGGAGCGTTAATTCCACGTGGCCAACTACAGCAGTTTGAGAAACACCCAGGTTCTGTACCCAGGATCCCGATGGGATGAGGACTGTGGACTGCAGAGTGACCAGGCCCCATGGGGGGCACTTTCTGTCTCTCTCCCGCTAGCATTGCACACATGCCTTCTAGCATCACCCTCTAGCATTTAATCAATCTATTAAATTTTTAATTAATTAATTAATTAATTAATTAAAAGAGCCACATGAGACAAACAGATATATTATACACATCTAATGGGAACAAAGCAATAGTACTAGGTAGGTACATTTTTTTTTTTTTTTGAGAACTTTTTGCTATAGGGAGCATGTGCTCACCAGAAAGACAGAGAGAGACAGAGACAGAGAGAAATCATCCCCCACGGGGGATGGCCACGTCACAATCCCCTCTCCTCCATTCTCCTCTCGGGATCTTGGGCACGCATGCACACGCGCCTGGTGTGAGTTTAAGCCACCAGGTCCAGGACTAGAACCGCAGTGGCCTACATGGGAGTTCAGCGACAGAGCCATTACGCTAACTGCTGGTCCCGGTAGGTACATTTTTTTTAAAGAGAGATTTCTACTATAGGATGCATGCACTTGCCAGAGAGACAGAAAGCAAGAAAACATCCCCCAGAGTGATGACCACACCACAATCCCTTCTCCTCCATCTCCTCTACGGATCTTGGGCACGCACACATACTCACCTGGCCTGAGTTTCAAGCTGTCATACCCAGGACTTGAACCACAGTCAACTATGTGGGAGTCCAGCGATGTAACCATTACACCATCTGCTGGCCCCAGTACTAAGTATATTTAAGCTAAAAAGGAAGGTGGAATAAACATCTAGTTTCTCAATACATACCATATTTATAAAATGACATTCCTTTGGCCCGAGCACTCCTACGAAGTTCATTTACAGCAACAAGAAGTGTTGCTGAAAGAAGAAAAGCATTCGTTTGAGCAAGAAAGAAATTTCATATCTCTAAGCTTCAAAAAAGATAGCATTTGAAAAGATAAATAAAGACAATCTCTCTTCTTTAAAGAATTATTTTTAAATTTTAACTTTATTTATTTATTATTTTAATTTGATGAGAGAAAATGAGAAAGCAAGCTGCCAGGTCCAGGACTCAAACTGTGGTCGGCCATGTAGGAGTCCAGTGCCCTCAACCACCACGCCACCTGCCAGGCCCTAAGCACAACCTTCTAATGCCAGGGTTGGCAGTAAGGAAAAGTTCTATATTAACTAGTCATTATCATGACCCCAATTAATCATTATAATGAAATGAATCCCGTATTTCTAAACCATAATAATTAAATATAATTCCCGTACACAGCAGCCCTACTTATCAAACAGCTCCGACTAACATCTGGCAGGCCCCATACTAAGCACAACCACTTCTGATCACCCCAACCTTTAGAGGCAGATGGTATTATCCCCATTTCACAGGCTACCGACTACAAAGGGCCCCGAAAATATACCCAACTACAGCCTGTCAATTAAGAGTAATAGTTTTTAAAACAGATGAAAAGGCAGTAGGCACACACAGTGACAATACGGTAGGTACAGCAGTGAATCAGGTAGCTTCATACTGACATTAGCAGTTATCTGTGTATTTCAGAAACTTGGAAACAGCCCCATTCCAAGAGGAGACAGCCTTCTGATTAACACTGCTCAAACCAGATTTTTAAACCCTCAGTAGAGGTACTCCTCGTGGAACAACCCAGCTCCGTTCCTGTGACTAGGTCACTAAGCAAACCGGTCAGTGAGCAAGGGCCTGAAAGGCGGATGTCTTGTGGTGTGTCATGGGGCCACAGAGTATGTGTTTCTCGACAGGCAGCATGTGACATCCCACTAAAATAATGTCATTCCATCCACACAAAAAGCATATGTTAGCTAAGCGCCAGAAAGCCACAAGACACACCACGACACGATAATATAAATCCAGCATAATCGCTTTTATTTATTCTGACGATTACTAGGGGTGCACGGTAAAGTACACATTTATGAACAAAATATGTAGTCTTGCATGATTGTGAACACTTACACTAACTAACCGTGGGACCCACACAAAGAAGGAGCAAAGGAATTCCCAAGACTGAGAAAGAGAAAGCAGATTTCATGTGCTAGAGAACTGGTCTCAAGTCTGAGTGGTCATTAAACAGGTAGGTCATCAAACAAAAAGTGGCTGAATAGTTGTTTTTACACGTCATTCAAATGCTCTGTGCATATGAGACTAACCAACAAAACATGTCTTTCCCCCTACCCCATCTATTACAGGAACCACCAAAGTATCTTATATAACACTTTACTCTCTAGGTAGACAAAGCTTAGATTCCTAGTCTCACAATTTCCCTTAGTCAACAGAACTTAGCAAACTACTGATAAAGGACTGCGGAATACGTATTACTAAATTAAAATAAATACTTTGTGACAGTACATACCTCCTTCAGATACTAATGATCCTGCTAAAATACAGTATGCCTAGAAAATAAATATTAAAGCAAAGCATAAGTTGTCTTCCACTAAAAAAATCACAATTGTTCATGCATTAAGTTCATAAGGTCCAAATTCAGATCTAAGCAAGATAAGAATACTGACAGAAACAACTCAAATGAGAACAAGATGTGGATACAAACCCTTGAAATCTGGTACGTGGACACCAGATGCAGAGAGGTCCACAACCACACTCATGCCTAATACAAGAGAATACTGATTCTGAAAGGTAAGTAGTTACAAACAGGAATCAAGGATTTGTTTTGGTACAATGGCTTCCCTTGCAGTTCTATGACTCTTCAAATATATCAAAATGGAAAGGGAAGCTTTAGCACAAGACGTACAAAGAGAGCTAACCTAGCAACACATATTTTGAAAATTTTCATAAAGCTGGGTTTTAACTTTTTAAATTTATTCCTCCCATGAGAGAGAGAAAGATGAAGAGCCAGGCATCCCCAACAGGGTCTTCATGCCATAATCAGCCCCCAGCCCCAGCCAGCTAGGATCACCGGGCACGCACACGTGCAGCCAGCATGTACAGGGAGACCTCGGGACGTGAACCCAGGACCTTCCCATAGGCACTGTGGAGCACTGCATTACCAATGCAACCCCCTGGCTGACCTAAAAATTTTCAATGAAATTAAAATCTATAGAACATGTCAACTATTTTCAATATGCCCTTCTGAGGGGACCAGCAGTTAGCATAATGGCTATGTCGCTGGACTCCCATGTAGTCGACCACAGGTTCATGTCCCGGACCCGGTGGCTTAAGCTCACGCTGGGCGCATGTGCGTGCATGCCCAAGATCCTGAGAGGAGAATGGAGGAGAAGGAATTGCGGCGTGGCCATCCCCCCTGGGGGGTGATTTCTTGCTTTTTATCTGTCTGTCTGGTGAGCGCACGCGCCCTATAGCGAAAAACCTCTTAAAAAAAAAAAAAATACCCTTCTGGGATCCCAGGCTTTACTGAAATGGAGCTTTGGAAATTTCAAACTGAGGCCAGCACTCATAATTCTATTAAGAAACCGGAGATTGACCAAGGCTGTGTGATTTGTCCGCATGTATAAAATGACAGACTAGAATGCAGGCCTTCTAATCTTAATTCCAGGCTCTTTCCACTGACTCTCACTGCCAACCTAAAACATAATTAAAATAGTAGCTAAATTTTCAAATAGCTCTTTTTAATCCTTCCATTTTCTACCAAAAAAAGATTTAAGACACACTTACCACTCAATAAAGGAAAACAGTATAAATCAACCAAGGATTCCAAAATAACACCTCGTCAATGAACCGACGTACGGTGTGTTGAATCTACTACTTATTTAACAAAGGGTCACAGTCTAATGGAACCCTATTTCCACGCCGAAAGACACAAGAGCTTTCAGAAGTTTTAAAACTTATATATAATTAAACCTTTAACTAATTAATCAATCTCTAACTCCAGAGACTACTTTCCCTCTATAAAGTGATGTTATACAAATTAGATGAATGTTAGCATAATGAGGAATCTATAAAATGCCCAAATCTTTTTGAATGAAGGGAGAATACTTTTTGTTCATTCTAATTACGTGAAATGTATTATGATAAGAAACTGATCAATAAAAACTGTAAGAATCTAGTCAATAACAAATGTAAATAAACCTGGTTTAACAAGCTTGTTATTATTATGCAGATTTAGATGGTGTAACAGGATGTTAAAATGAGATTCTATTCTGTTCTAGCTACAACACAAAACAGAAACAAATAGGTTACAAGTACGGCCATGGGACCAGCAGTTAGCATAATGGCTATGTCACTGGACTCCCATGCTGGGAGCGTGTGCGTGTGTGCCCAAGATCCTGAGAGGAGAATGGAGGAGAAGGGACTGCAGTGTGGCCATCCTCCCTGGGGGGTGATTTCTAGCTTTCTGTCTCTGTCTCTCTGTCTTTCTGGAGAGCACACACGCCGTGTAGCCAAAAAAAAAAAAAATCTCTCAAACAACAACAACAACAAAACAAGTATGGTCATATTCCAGAATGAGGGTACTATTCTACTGGACAGATGGTGGCCCAAGCCTGGGACCTCTACCCATTAGACAGCCCCTTCCACTAGCTCCATACCCAGGAGACCACACAAAAAGATCTGCAGTTAAGGAGGCCCACTGTGATGATCTCTTTGGCAGAAACTGCTGAGTTGTTGAGAGTGCTCAGGAAGCTTGATGTGTGTCCCCAGGAGCCTGGAGACCACAGCAAACTGTGTCAGATGCACGCCTACACAGGAAGTCTACGAACTGAAACTGGCTGCGTGAGTGGGGGAGATGACTGTGTTCACCAGGAACTGGAGAGATTTATGAAACTACCCCAAATTTTAACCAAAGAATCAAGGCTTAATAATTGGACCTAAAGAGATCCTCTTATTTAACATCATTGAATCAAATGGATCTAGAGGCCATACCTCTAGAAAACACAACTACAGATACATAACCCTAGATAATGCAGTCAAGAAGGCGTAGGTTATTCTCATCCCCTAACACTCTGTGCCAAAGGCATTCTACTGTACTCCAATCACTGCCGCAGTCCATTAACACTGAGAAAGCAAGAGAATTACCCATAGAAGGGATTCCATTGGCTGAGGATGAAGCAATCCCATGATTCCATGGTACCATGACAGTCCTGCACCCATCATGAAAATACCAACACCACTAATCAGCGAAGAAATATAGCGCATATTTGAAAACCCATACCTGAAAAATAAAAAAAGATAATCTAGTTTGCAAGAAATATAAATAAATTCTTTGGGAATACATGCTTAATAAGTCAATGCAAAAGAAAATACAAAAATTCTTTGAATATCAAGATGTTATAGTTTTATATTTAAGTAAAATATAAGTGCCAAACTCCAATCTAATTGGAAAAACAATATATGAAGTGGAAAACAAATGCAAGAAAATACATAAAAATTAAAAATGCCACTTAGTTCAGGTATTTTGTAACTTGTCTTTCATATAGCCTATTTTAATTTAGAAGAGCTGCTTTACTGTTATGCATCACAGACACTGGCAAAATTAATCTCTTAGGAAGATGCATTCAGATGTTTAATGAACAGGATAACACTTCAATTTCCTTGTAATGCAACCTCTAGTTGAATATTTTGGTCTTTTTGTGCAACTACTCTATGATTTATATCACTTATAATTTGATGCTAGATACTGAACAGTTCAGCACATTCAACTGATTGCTGGTTCTAAACAGTTTAGCATACAGCGACTTTAACTACTGAGTTG